CATTGCACACGACGCTCCAGTTTCTCTGTTTAGATAAATAGTAATATGCACATGAGTAACTAAACAAAATGGCATACTTATTAGTAGCTAATGGCAAAAAAATTGAAATCCAATGCATACAGGTTGGTTGCATGAAAAACACTTCCAAAGGTACCACGTCCAATAAGTTTTCTTTTCTGCCATTGACCTTTCACTGAAGGCAGATTTTCAGTAGCATGATGCATGGAACTTGATTGATGCAACATAGCCATAGATAACGGTGCTGATGACGAAACTCTAGGAGGAAGAGGTAAGGGGTGTGCATCAACCAGGTTATTTTCTGGGCACACCCTGGACAAAGATTTATGGTGCTGAGCTTCCTCCTCAATTTTAGGATTGAAGTAACAAGTGAGACTCATAGGGCAATTAAGAGGAGAATGGTCTGGATTATGAACAGTTTTAGCTGATAACATTTTCAAATTGTCACTAACTTCAGAGAAATCTACATTGCTTGATTTACATGGACTAGTATTAGGACAAGTGACTACACTTGTTGGTGCACTCTTGGGTATGGCAGCAACACCCAAATTCAAGTGGGAAATACCTTCATCGTGAGAGACTTGTCTGGTGGTTTTCCATGAAATATTGCCAGAATTAACAACAGCAACATAAGAGCATCTATAATGGTGCACCCTTTCTATAGATTTTATCTCACTTTTGGTGGATCCTGTCAAGCCAAATCAGATTTAAAAACTTCAATAACTTTTTACGCTAACAGTAAAACCATTTAAAAACATAAAACGAGTCACATATATTACTTCACGAATTAATACTCTAGGCTAGAAAAATAATATATAATTGCTTTCTACCATACTCTAATGGTGTCAGGCCAATTCAAATTTCACACAAGAAGAAATCACCTGTCAAGAAATTTGCTGCAGCAATATGCTCTCTCAAATTGCATTTTGAATTTGCAAGAGTAGAATCCAAGGAAGATCTATTTAAATTGCGTGTAGAACTTGTAGGGGTCACTGCATCATGATGCACTGCGTTCCTGATAATTTTGGAACCTTCTTACATTATTATCAATTAATAATATTCAAAATTATAAACCGTTTAGATTGATCGAGTCTTGTTAAGCAATAAAATTGGTGTAAAAATGGTGCATGGTGGGTGTGCATTAAAAATGGTAAGGACCAAGAAAATAGTTTTCCGAATAATGAAAAATGGATATATACCTTTATACACTTACCATGCAATTCTTCATTTCATTCTTTTTTTTTTTCTTGTCAAATCAAAATATTTATCGTTTCTTTTTATTATTTTTTATTTTAATTTTAGAAAAGTAAATTAAAAGACTAATTTAACATTATATACTTTATTATGAAAATTATTTTATTTATATATTTTATTTATAATCATACATATTTGATTTTGAAACTTATTTAACTTTACAAAATTAAGATAAGAATTATCTTTCAATTATATGTATTTTAATTGTCTTATACGTGACTTGTTTTTGTCAATACCCTCTCTTACAATTGGAGTGAATCTAAATAATTTATATTCTATCTTAAAATAGAGGAGAGTTTAAATGGCACTGGTATAACTTTTATTAAGTGTTACACCATACAATAATTTTATATTAATTGTGAATTTTGTAAATCTAACCGTTAGATTGAAAATTCATATCACTTTATATGTGTATACCAAATTTTGTTAAAATCGAACAACAATTTAAAGGTGATCAAAGTATTCCTCGCTACGTTGGAGGCACCTCAAAGGGTGGGATAGCTGGCCCCAAGATTTAACGCGGCTGCACTTAAGCGTGGATCAACCCCTACCGCTGAACCACACGCTTGGGGTTATATTTTAATATATTTTGAAATGAATATATTACGTCAATTGTTTTTTATAAGAATGAAGTATCAAATCATCTTGGATTAAAATAAAATTTTGTATATATGATCTAAGTGATATGAACTTTCAATCTAACGGTTGGATTTACAAAATTCGTATTTAATATAAAATTATTTAGTAATGTAACATTTAGTAAAAGTTACACTAATATCGTTTCAACCGTACTCATTAAAATAATAAATTATATACCTAACTCAACTTACAAAATCGATGGTAAGATTTTTCTCCATTTATATAATCATTTATCGTTCATGTTATTATTAATCACTTCTCCCTTTTAATGAAGAATCAATGTTTACCTGGAAACAGAAGAAGCAATGTGGTGATGTTCTAACGATGATGAGAGGCTAGGATGTACGGAAGTGGAGTTGATTGACTTGGCTCGACTGGTCAACGGCGACATGGGAGGCAGCAGCAGTTGCGGCGCAGCAGAGAAGGAGCGGTGGCCGGAAAAGCCGTGGGAGCGACACTCCGGCGAAGCCGCAAAAGAAGAAAACTCAGCAGAGAAGCCAATGTCTAGGTCGCTGAGGTAGCGGAGCTTCCTCTGCCTGGTCAACCGCCGCGCCGGAACAAAATCACCGGCTCTTCCGTCGCCGTGGAATTGCATGGTTCCGGTGGACGGCGGCGAAGGAGAAAGCGGTTTGCGAGAAAGAGGCATTTGAGATGTGAAAGCAAAATTGAAGGCAAAATTCATTAATTCTAAATAGCGGAATGTGGAACGTTGCAAAAGCCATAGAAACAACGCGGGAAACACCTACGTTGTTTCTTTGGACTTTTGTTGTGCCAATAATTTCCAACGTAAATTACCTTGTATCTGGAATTATGCACATTTCACCGCCCAGGCTTTGACCGCCGTTGAAGTCGTTTTTTCCTATCTGTGGTCGGAGCAAACTCAAACACTTATCTAAATACTGCAATAAATAGTTGAAGAGAGGTAGCATAAGCTTAGACTTTCTTTACGATTTTCTTATTAGTTAAAATTTATTAAAAAAATAATATTTGATAAATTTCATATTTTATTTAATCATTCTTTATTTTATAATTCTTAATAAATTTTAATCGATAAAAATTAAATGTATCATTGTTACTTCTCGTTGAATTAGAGATTGTTATCTACTAAAAAATTATCACACGTATACACATATCTTTATATTAATAAGATATTATCTATTTTATCTGTTTTAGACTCAATTTTTACGATTTTTTTTTAGATACCACTCGTATGTATATAAATTCATGTTGATACTCTCCGGAAGGATCTTAGCCTCTTTTGCTAATTTGTCTTCAGCTTTCCTACAACTGTTTTGTGGACCGTGAAATGCATCTATTGATTGAGATTAAAAGTTGAGAAAAAATAACATTGACTGTCGGATGCATCTCGGAGCTTCGCTATGTTACTAGTCATCATTTTTGCCCTCAATAGAACGATTCTAACATCTAAAAGCACGGAATCTCAGAAATTGTAATTCATTTGATACAGTTTCTCCATTATTTGTCTCCACTAGATACATTTGAAGCATTGAACCAGTTATGTCTTTAACTCGTGCTCCGTTGTGCGTTGCCACTAGTTCAGCATCAAGCATAAAACCTAACAGCATTATGAATTTATAATCGTGATTAGGATAGCATATAGAAGTTGTAGAATTGGATGTATCAATTGTCTCGACAATTTTCTTCTTTCACCTTTAGGTGTTTGTAATTAGTTATTTATGTAAATTTTCTCCTTTACATGGACGTTTTGAACAGAAAATTGGGGACACAAAATTATTTATTCCGAATGTTTGCACCAAGCTAGAAATTTCAATACAATACAAATCAAATGACTTCCTCTATTGTAAGTCAACGTCATCCGCTAGATCAAATTGATGACATTGAATTTCTGAAACGTTTTGTTGAGATGATAACATATGAGGTTCTTCCACAAAATCATGCACCATTAACTTTTCACCCAAGTTCTTAAGTCCTAATCTTGCTTGACAATTTATTCTAATCTTTGGTCTTGGATTAATTGTTTTATAATTTCATTTGTCTGACTTTCATAAACCTTCTTTACAACAAATAAAGAGGCAAGAAGTAATTGAGTCATCCTTTTTCTTGTACGTATATTGTTTTCTCATACCAAATCCAATTATTCTACCATAAGAACTTTTAAGCATCCTCAATGTTATTAAAAATATACCCTTCTTTATTTTCGGTCTTCTTGCATCTTGTATTAATAATTCTACATATCTCAAAAGAAAATACATATTTATATATTAATAATAAAAGAACATTCATCGAAAACTTTATTACTACATTAAAAGACATTATTTACATATTGATAAAAGAGCAAACATTTGAAAAGCAACGAAAAAAGTTTAAAGCGATAGTAATAATGGAAAACTCATAAGCTAATACGTGACATATGTTATGAAAAAGTATGAAAGCTTTTGTTCTTTATCTATTTGATGTACGCTATCAATTTAAATAAAAAATAGAAGAAAAAAAACATAAAAAAATTTGAAAAAGAATATTAAAGAAAGACTTTCAAAAGCAAGATACACACAGGAAAGGTGAACTTCACTAAAGGAGAATCCAGTTTTTGGATTTTATCAAATAGAGATCGGAAGCTAAAAAAAAAATAGAGAACTTGAAGAATGTTCTTGTGCCGTGAATAATAGGGTAAATTTTCACAAATCAGAGTTGCGTATATGGTGTCATGATTCGGTGAATTGCTGATTGGCGGAAAATTTCATATATTTTTAAATATTTCTTATTTACTTTTAAATATTTATCTATTTAACCACTAAGATTAGTTTAGTAGTTGAATAAAAAAGGATTTGAGTAATTAGAAAGTTAGAGACTTGAGTTTAATCCTCGTTACGACCATCTTTATAATATTTCTTATCTTTATAAAAAAATGTTTATCTATCTATCACATTTATATAAGATAAAAAAAAGTTTTGACTTCTAATCTCAACCATTAAGATGCATCTGACGATTAAAAATGTTGATGGAGGAATGATGGAGACATAAAATATTAAGAATAAAATATTTTTTTGTTCCTTTATAATTTCTCAAGTTTGATTTTAGTCTCTCTAAATTTTTGTTTTATTTTAGTGTCTCTAATTTAGAAATACACTAGTTTTGATTCTCAAAGTAGTTTGAATAATACTTTATAATTGCTTTTAAGCGATATCTAAAATACTTAAAGAACTAAAAGTCGTTGAATTTAAATTTTAAGAGACTAAAATAAGAAGAAAAAATTTAGAAGAATTTAAAGCAAATTTCAATAATTTTAGAAAGATTATAAATACATTTTATCTATTACTCAATTACTACAATTAAAAATAATATTTTATTAAAAAGTGAGTTATTTTAGTAAAATTTTATCAAAATAAAAAATATATATTTATTTTTATCTTCAATCCATGTAAAAACCTTAAATTTCATACACAAAGGAAGAGTATATAATATTACAATTTACATTATGTAGATATAATATGGTTATTATAGTAGTGTGTAACCTTGAACTTACAAGTATAAGCTTTGAGTTTCATGATGAGTGTCTCTATATTAGTAATTACTTATCAATTATTATGATTAGGGATGACAAATAGACATGTACCTCTAGGTAATACTCGAACTCATCTCAACTTTGACAGGGAATATCTGATTTGATTGGGTACTGGTACAGATAAAATCCGATATATTAAATTGGGTATGGATATATACTTACCTGTCTCGTACTTGTCCTCGTCCCTATCCCCGGTTTAATACACATCCCCAATTTAATTATATTAAAGAATTTTAATATTTTATTATGTGTAATTATTTATTATAATTTGAAACATTTATAGTTGTTTAATTATTAAGAAATTTCTTGATTAAAATATAAGATAGAGAAATAACCTAATTATAATTATAATATAATAGAAAAATAATTTAAAATATTGTGTGTTTTTTTTTATAAAAAAATAATTTTTTGATAGATACGGATATACCGGATACTCGACGGGAACATAAATGAAAACAAAAATAATACACCTAATAAGTATGGATACGGAGATGAGGTTAAGTTAAGAGGATAAAAATAATTATCATGAAACTCGTATCCGACCCCACCCCGTTACCTTCCCTGGACTTACGACATCAAATGACACGTAATTTCCTAAACACGTCGAGTTTTTGACTCTCAATTAACGGTGAATGGTAGAATTTTTATTATAATATTGAATGGTGTTAGATAATATCAATTTTAAGAAAGCTTTCATGGTTCAAATAAAAATGAAACCGTTGACCAAGTGTGCTACCTTCTTAAACTCCATGAGTTATGACCAACGCGACCAGAATGGATAAATGACTATTGACTAAATTATAAACTTTTAAAATTATATCGAAACTAGGAAGAGGAGGCATTTCGTAATTTGTGTTTTTTATTTGAGGATTGGGGAGCTTAAAATAGTTATAACCATAAAATGATAAAAGAAAATTAAGATTAAAATTACACAAACTAATAATTTCTTTATATTTTTTATTTTTAGTCTAGACCAAAGAGAATCATTGGTATTTATATTAAAAAAATTATTATGAACAGTAAAATTTTCTTCTATAGTATTTAATACAATTACATGCTTAGAAATTAGGATTTAAATTTAAAATCACTGGTTAAATTAGCTTAAATAATCCCTTACCAATTGACTTATATTTTCATTGAAAGTATTCCTTTTATATGTAGTATAAATAATAGTTAATATTATTTTTAATAATTATATCTATTTTATATTAAAAAAAATAAGCTAAATATAGTTTTAAGTGGCTTTTGTATTAGATTAAACAATTTATACCAAATTGAATTATTAATTTGTTTTCAAAACTTATAATAACAGCGATTAGATTCGAATAACTATTTTAAAATTACTTTTAACTAAAATCATTTTTATAAACTTTCACTGTAAAAATAAACATTTGTGACCTTATAATCACATCTCTTTTTTTTTAATCTTTTTTATATAAAAATTACAATAATGACTACAAGATTTGACCTAAAAATCTTGCACATATTACCTTAATTCGTTACTATTAGATTAATTCTATTGATTCCACATTTATTTGTATTACACATAAAATTAAGACTTAAATGTATTTTGGATCTTTTAGGTACTGTGATTGTGCTATTTTGGTTTTTCACTTCTTAATTGAGCAATTTTAATCTTTCAAGTATCATAGTAGTGTGATTTGGTATCTCAGTTTTTAGTTGAGCAACTTTTATCTTTCAAATATTATAATTGTGTGATTTTAGTCTTTCGCATTAAAAATCTAATAATTTTTGTTGATATTTCTAATTAATTTTCTTCTAATATGTTTATATTTTTGTATAAAATATATTAATATATACTAATTTATATTTATGAAATTATTAATTTATTTACAAATATACTAATGATATATATTAATTTTATTTATTTAATTATAATATATATATATATATATATTTGATACATGAATAAAATTTATAATATATGCAAGGCCAATAATTGTATAATTTTAAATTATGATATATATATATATATATATGTATATATTAATATATATAATTTTAAAATTATTAAATTTTAAATAGGAGGGACAAAAATATATAATTATGGTATTTTAATTTAGAATCAAGATTAATTTAGGTATACATCTGATTACATTTAATAATTTGAAATTATTTTACAAAATTAGTTTCACTTTAATTTTTGTATAAATATGTTTAGATAATTTAGAAAAAATAGTTTTACACACTACAAATATAGTTTTACCGTTAAATTCAAAAAGAAATGTAAATTTGGTTATTTTATAATAAAATTTTCATTAAATGAATATTAAAAAATTTACAATTTAA